AAATCCCTGCTTCTGAGGGGCTGGGTTGGGTAAGTCCCTTGAGGTCAGGATCTCTTTACCAGCCTCAGCAAACACAAGACCCCATCTCCACCAAATAGAGAAGAAAAACAAAAACACTATAACCAAACAAACAAAACACTGAAGTGATAAAGTTGAGGGGCATAACAATAGGAAAAAACCTGCAAAAATGAAGCCCTCACTAGTGAAGAAGGAAACAATGAAAAATTATAATTACAAGATGAAAAAAGAAAGAATTAGAAAAATCTAAAGGGAAAAAGTTGAAAAAAAATTTTAAAAGAAAAAAAATATATATATTTTGCCATATACTGCCTGGGAAACAGGAAATCTTATGGGGTATGAGATGCTAATCACAATGCTGATACAGCTGCATAAGATGGAGACTGGAAGCCTCTGTCTTTCTAGGGAGACCTTGTCCTGTCTTCCTGATTTCTCAATCAGGAAGGATTTTTTTTTTTTTTTTGCCCTCACTCCCCACAGGGTAAGGATCCTGAAGCTCTCCTCATCCTGCTTAATAGACATGCATTGACCATTCCAAACCCTGTCCCTTGGCCATGCAGTGGCTTTCTGTGCTGTTAAATCTCTCTATGGGTGGCTGACCAGCTTATCAGGAGTGCCATAACTAGCCTGGCACTAGAGCCTGGGGCTAATCCTACGAGGCACCTTTCTCACAATGGCTGCAACCTGGCCCACAGTCAAACAATGAGAGCTCCTCTCCATTCTTCCCAGTGGCTCATTCCTAGGCCCTGGGTGCTGTTCAAGATCACGCACTGGCTCGCCCAACGTCTCCCAAGGTAAACTCCACCAAGTACTCAGGTCTAAAAAAAACAAAAACAAACAAACAAAAAGGGAAAATCCCCACAGAACAGGCCTTCTCCATCTGAAAACTGCCTCTGCCATGGAACAAGCCAGCCTCTGCCAGCACGGAAGTATTCTCCACTGCTTCTGACCTCCTTTGAGGGTCCTAGAGGCCCTATTGCCTCCCTGTGCCCTAAAGGGATGTTTCTGGGTAAGGCCCACTAGCCAAAATGCTGGAGTCCTTTCTCCCCAGTCTCACCACACAGGCTGCAAAGGAGCTGTCTCTGGACAGAGGAGCTGTCCATCATCTTGCTCCACTTCTTCTGTGGGCTAACTTTCAACATGCAAATTTATTAAACTGGTTTTCTTTTCTTTTCATAGGAAATGAATACTCTGATCAAGGCAATAAGGCAAGTTCATATGAGAGGAACTGTACTGAATGCATGCCAATTTTGATTAAGGACCTCAAAGAATCTAAAACTGTGCTCTAAGGTCCAAAAGAAATAAATTTACAATTTAATTTTGAGACACAATTTTTTTTTTTTTTGAGTTAAAAATGGCTGGTGACCTGGCTGGCAACCTGTAGAAGACTGAAACTGGACCCACACCTTTCATCATTAACTAAGTTAGACTCTCACTGGATTAAAGATTTAAACTTAAGACATGAAACCATAAAAATACTAGAAGAAAGTGTAGG